AAGTTATTCTTTACTATAAAGTAGATTACTATCGACTAAATCAGTAGCACTATCAAATTTAGATGATGAGAAATATGATAAATAAAATGGAACCAATTATTATTTCCATCCATCTAAAATGAATTAATTTTATTTAACACATTAAAAACAGGGACTTTAACAATCAATATTAACATTACTTGACTCAATATTTTAACATTAAGTTGCTTTAATAATTTAGATATTTAATTAAAGTATATTACCATCATTATTGATATCAAGACTTTATTCTATATCACTCATTTAATCAGAATATGAACAACTTGTTAATTTATTGATATAATTAGATTTACAGAGTGCACATTCAATAATAGTAGTTTAATCTCTTTATAATAGAGGATAATTATATTAAAGAGTTGATGTTCTTTAACCATTGACTCTTTCAAAAGCAATTAAACAATTAGGAATAGGATTTGGATAACAATTTAAACCATCAAGTGATAAATAATATTAGTTAATGTCTATACATTTATGACATCTAAAATGATCACATATTTAACAATTTTAACCACATTTTATACAAGTACCATTATTAAGATAAGTAGATAATGGACAAGATGCACATTCAATATTGCCTTCATTAATTTTACATGTATCACATTCATGAATTGGACATTTAATACATTCTGAATTAAGTAATTAATAGTTTGATTGACAAGTTAAACATTTAAAATCTTAATCACATTCAAGACAATTAATATTGATATTTACACATTTATTATTAATTATTTAATGACAAGGTTTACAGTATATTTTGGTAGGTATATCTAATTAATATTACAATATATATAATTGACTATCATCTGTTACAATACCTAAACAACCATCACAAAGATTTAAATTTCCATCTTTTGAAATTAAATAATATTCATAATCAACTTTATCTCTTTAAAGTAATTGAAAAGCACTATTTCCATCAAATACATCACCTACTTATTATTTAATATAATCTTATGAACATATTGGGTTTTGATACCATGTTTTTTGATTTAATAAACAATCACTACATATTATCCTAAAATCACTTTTAGAAGATGGACATTTTTAACAAATTATTTAAGTGTCTACTGGAATTAGAAATTAATCATCTTAACATACATTATTAATATTAGATTAAACTAATTAAAGTGATCCTAAATAAAAATTATGAGCTTATATAATTAAATATAATATTTACTTTAACAAGAATTATTTTCATCTTCATAATAATTTCTTATACATAAACATTCATTATTCTTTAATACTTTTGTTGTAATATCATTACAACTTAGACAATGTGTTTTATCAGGACCAAAACATGTCTTACAAATCTTATGGCATCCTATTAAAAATTTTAATATTATATATTTACTAAATTCAAACGTTTAATCATTTTCAAAACAATATTCCATTGCTACATTTGCTAAAAATCCATCCATTGGACTAGGACTAAATTTATCTCCTCCTAAATTTACTACTAATTAAGATGATTTGAAATGATTTCTATGTTAATAATTATATTTTATGTCATAATAATTTGGATCTTAATTTGATCCATCTCTTATTCTAATATTAACATTAGATATAACTGATTGAATTCCTGATTCAAACATAAAATAATGCCATTTAGTCATTAAATCAAACATATTGAATCCTTACTTTTTATAAGTATCATATAAAGTTGTTGTATAAAATGATAATGCTGGAAAATCATATGAATAAGTATCTATTTTTATTGTTGAATTTGATGGATATTGAGGATCATAATGATAACTCATCATAAATACTCTATCTCCCATAACATAATCATTTGAATAAAATTCATATAATGCTACTCTTATTACTGTTATATCTGCTGATGAACCATAATTCTTTATCAACTTAGCCCATCCAGAAAAACTAAATCTTTCTTCCTTATAATGTTAGGTGGATACTTAAGGAAATGTAGATGTTATTCCATCTATTAATGGTACAAATGTTCTTGTTGTTCCCATCACTTTACAATAATTATACAATTCACAACTCAATTAATCTAATGCTAAAAAATCTGTCAATGTTCCCAAATAAACATCACTAAAATATAACTTACTTCTAAGACCACGAAACTTCTCCATAACTACATCATGATCAAATTTTCGATATACTTAACCAAAAGGCATACTCTAAAGATCTCCTACAATATATGTATATTTTGTTCCTGGAAGTCTATCTAAATTCTATCCTTTTGATTCAAAAATATAGTCTTCTGTCATTGATCCTTATTTTGCAAACCAAAGATAAACTTTATATTCTTTACTAATTGAATTATAGCTAAAACAATGAAAACCCCAATTCCCTTCCATAAGCATTGGATCAATTCGAAAACCATAAACTCTCTCAATTTATTAATGCTAAGCATTTTATGGTGCCGATGCATAATTTTAATAAGCATAGTGTTCAAGTAAAAAATATTGATATTCCAATTGTTAAAATAACCTTGCAGATGATGTTGTTACATTCATATCAATCTACTCTACATACAATAGATAACGAGGGTTATAACTTTATAACTTCTTCATCACCATTAGTGTTGGATCCCACCTAAACCAAATACCTATCGTTTAATAAGTTGAGAATGTATGCTGTATCTCATAAACATTATCATCTAATATTTCTTATTTACATCCAGCTCCAAATGCAATGCTTCAAATATAAAACTAATTACATACCTAAAAACATGATATAGTAATAAAAATTGTCTAAAAAGGTAAAACATTAAAAATAATTAAACGAAATTTTCTTTTGTATAACAACTTATTTCTAGCTCATTAAAAATTTAATATCTTCAAAGAAAAATAGTCAGATTCAGTAAAATAAACGAAAAATCAAACAATTATCGCATTCAAATCATTATTCTAACTTATACTCATAAATATTGTTAATTATTAAAATATCATAAGGATTTTCTATATCATTAATCATCATTATATTCTTAGATATAGAAATTAAAACAGTTAACCTTTAATGTTCTTATCATCTTCATATGCATAAGATCTAAATAAAAATGAACACTCAACTGTATTGATATAATAATTATAATCTTGTATATAGTATTATATCATTTTTATAGAATAATTCATTCATTTTTATTACAGTTTATATAGTAAAAATGAAAATGGAAATAATTTCAAAAATATGATATTTCATTAATTTCTTATTAATATAATATATAATAAGTCAAAATACAATTTAATTTCTATTGTAAAAACAATCCAAATTTTTATATTGATATTTAACAATAATATATATTAATCTTCAAGAAATAATTGTAAACAATATATGATTTTAATAAATATATTCATATTCAAAATTTGATTGAAATCAATAAAATTATAATTAATACACAAATCTCCACTTATTCTATCTATTATCTAACATTGAAATTAAACATTATTTTATGATAAATAGTTAAAATCATTTTAATATCTCAATTAAATATAAAAAATATAAGCAATTATTCATAATTAATATATATCTTATTTAAGATTTTAATATCAATAATGTGTGTAATGATTTTGATAATTTAGATTCTCTCTATGTATATGTTTTAGTGTAAAGAGATACACTTTTTAATTTGGAATAAATTGAATAACAAATCAAATGGAAATATAATGAAGTTATGTTATGGTTAGTATATATAAAGAAAAAGAAAAACGGTAATACAATGAGCATAATAATATTAAAAAATGAGAATTGTGATCATTGCATTAGTGATTTGTTTGGCCACATGTGCTAAATTGAGAAGTTAAAGTCCTCAGAAATTACAAGCAGAGTTACAAAAGTCAAATTATGGAAGAGCTTTGTTACATTTGGTTGAATTACATTCAATGGCTGGAGGAGCTGTCTCAGAATTAGTTGATGCTATTGAAGAACTTGTTAATGACTTAGAGGAAGGACTAGAGTTTTTAGATTTCAATTTCTAGCGTAGAACAAATGAACACAACGCTTTACTTGTTCAATTGAATTAACAAATCCAATAAGCTTAAATTGATGTAAGTAGATCAGAAGATGTTATTGAAAATCTATTAATACCTAGAAAAGAATAATTGGAAGTCAGAATTGAGAATTTAGAAGAGTACTAAGCTTAAAATAGATAAAAGGTTGATGAAGAAAATTTAACAAGAGAACAAGAACATGAAGCATATGAAGCTTAAGTTGCTGAATTGAATGATGCAACTGCTGCAGTTGATGATGCATTAGCCTTATTATCAACACTCAATAATCCATCATTGGCTTAAGTTAAGAAATTTTAGAATTCACTTAAAAAAATTGAATAAAGTATCAAACCAAGAAGCAAAATGGCTCCATTTTTAAAGGCATTAATTACATTGGCATCAAATTAAAACTTTTCTGATCAAGGAGTTTTAAGTTAAATTGTCAATGTATTGAATGAATTTAGAAATGCGATTGTAGATTCAATCAATGATTATTCATTATAAGAAGTCTAAGATCAAGAGAATTTTGAAGCAAGAATAGTTTAATTGGATGCTGAATTTGCAGAATTCTAGAAACAAATAAATGCTCTTAATGTTGATTTGACAGCAACTTTAGGTAAGAATAAATATATATAAATATTCTAGAGAAGATTGATTAAGTCACAGCATTCAGAGATTAAAGAAGATTAGACTAAGCAACTTATGAATAATAACTCTAATTAGAGAATGATTTATATGCCGATGAAGTTTAAATTTATAATGACACTAAAAATGAATTCCAACGTGAATAAGCTATAAGTGAATAAGCTTTATCGTTAGTAAGATCTGTAGATTTTACAAACATACAAGTTTGAAATATTAATCAAATTAAATATCATAAAGATGTATTCATAATCTATTAAACACCATTTCATTCATTTTCTAATAAAAGTCATTAAAGGTAATTAAAAAGTCTAATTCATTCAGAACTTAAAATTGTCGATTGATTTGATTAGTCAAATGTTAAATTCAAATCTTAATCTTGCATTTTGAATGTTATTTTTGGACATTTTGTAAGGAACAAAAATAAATTTGAATTTAGATTTCTTTAATCTATAAATAAGTCTATAGATATTTTGAATCAAAAGTAATTAATTTCATACAAAGATTTACAAGATCATTAAGTTTTTGTAATAAATCATCTGTATCAAGAATATCTTGAGATCCTCCTTTTTCATGTCTGATTAGATTATCAAAATTATAGATCTTCTATAGTTTTTTAGATTTTGAAAGTTATTGAAAAATCAATTTACTTAGCTTCTATAATTTTGAGTAAATATTGGACATATCTAATATTAAAGGTTGTTTAATAACTCTTTTATTTCTTTTTGAAAGTATATAATTTAAAGATAGTAGTTGTTGATTAAATGAATAATATAAATAATAATAGATATATATATATATATATTTTACTATGCAATATAAAATGACTTTGTCACTCAAATGATTCCTATTTTATTGGCCAAATTAAGTGCATCATTTTCACCTCCTAATCTAATGTATGCCTTCTTTTTGCCTCCAAAGGTATTTAAGATCTGAATATAGGCATTTATATATTACGTTGACTTTTCTTACTTTAACATCATAAATTTTAGAGAATGCTCTTTTAATTTATGGTTTTGTTGCTTTTTAATTGACATAAAAGACCATGGTATTTTCATCTTCCATCTTCTTCATATCTTTTTCTGTAATAAGAGGATGTTTGAGGACATTTTAGAAATCTAAACCTTTATTTATGGGTTTCAATTATCTTGTCAATCTAGTGAATTTTGGTTTTCTTGCAAGTGCCAAAGGTTTAGCTGTATGGAATCTATTTTGGAAATGAGTTCTAGCTCTAATGACTTTCTTTGCAACTCTAGTATTTTTAGCAGCTTTCTATGCTTTTTATGTTGTTGTTGTCTGTCCCTTTGGCATTTTATTTAAAATAATTTTTTAAATCTTTTTTTTTTTCTTAATTAATTAATAGAGATTTTAATATTATCAACATGAACAGAAACAACTTTAATTAGCATTGTGTCTTAGAAAATATTCATCCCTATTTGAATCAGATTCTCTGGGATGAATCAATTTTTAATTCATACTTACACTATGTGATTTCTTTTTATGTTTAGAAACATTTAACCACATATTGTTATAATCTTGATTAACAATTATAGCATCTTCAGGTGGAGTGACAATAATAGTTGGTGGAGTAGTCAATTATAATAAAGGTCCAGAAGTATAAGGAGATTCTTCTTATGAACTTTCACCACCAGATTTAATAGCCTATAATTTAGAATTATCAGATATTGAGATATCCCTTTCTTAAAGTTTGTGTGAAACAGGCCTTGTGGATTTGCTAATTCCACTATTAGACATATCTCCATTATTTGATTTACCTTCAACTAGAGATCCCCTTCTAATTATTTTATCTCCAGAATCAATTGATCTTGTATTTATCAAATTCTCTATTAACTTTATCATAGCATTTTCAATATTGATATTTTCTTTTGCTGATACTTCTTAAAATAATAAGTTCTGTTTTCTTGCTAAGAGTTGACCCAACTCAATTCCTACTTCTCTATTCAGATCTATTTTGTTTCCTAATAACATCTTTATTGCTGGTCTTTCACATTTTCTAGTAGAATAAGTATATTTATATACTCTTCAAAATCAGCAATCCAACCATTCACTTAGTCGAAACTCTTTATATTTGAAATATCATAGACTATCATTACTGCATCACAACCTCTATAGTAATTCTTTGTCAAAGATCTAAATCTCTCTTGTCCTGCAGTATCCCATAATTACACCTTTACTTATTGGTTGTTTATAGTAATTACTTTAGATTCCTTAACTTAAAAACATTTAATACACATGCAACTCCTACAGTGCTCATTGATTTCATTGCAAATTCATTTTTGAGGAATCTCTTAATAATAGAAGTTTTACCAACTGAACTGGATCCCAAAAATACAATTTTAAAGCAAAGTTATCTTAAAAAGTATATAATAATAAATACATGTCAGATTTGATTTAAAAGGATTGCTTCATTAATTTATTTAAAATGTCAGAAATATTAATAAATTTCTCTACTTTAGATGAAGGATTATTAGATATATTTGATTATGAATATATATATCAAATACATATGTCATTGTTTTTATGGAATATTAAATTTTGTATATTGAATGAGTTTAACATTTGAGAGACTGAAGAAATAAGATTTATTATTATCAGCAGTGTTATATGAGAAAATCCCTAAAGAAGAATTAATTCAACACTTGAGTCAAGTAAGAGGAGAATAATTTGATTTAATTGATTCTTGGGCTTATGAAGCATTAGAGGCTGAAGTAAAGTCGATGGTAGAGAAAAAGCATGAGGAATTTAAGAGGACCAGGTATTAATATAAAATATCTATAGAACAATGAGTATGGAAGAAGAAATCCTAATTAAACCAAATGTGATAATCAATGATGAAAAGAATTATAGAGAGACTATATAATGTAAACAACTGGCTCCAAATAGAATCGTATTGTATTATGTTGAGAATCCTCAGATTATCATACAACCCAGAATTCCAGAATATAAGATAATTGAAGGGAATACATTTACTCCAAATTATGTGAATTATTGTGTAGTTGTTGGATAATTTGGATCTAATGTATGGAGAAGAGTTGAACATTTTTATTGGTTATAAGAAGCATTACAATAATAATATCCTGATAGTTTGATACCACCACTCCCAGCAAAAACATTATTCAGAAAATTCACACCTGAACATATATCTAAAAGATGTAAAATGTTAGAACAATTTTTGAGTGCCATTCTTAATAATCATTTATTAAGGTAGTCTGACTTTATTGAAGGCTTTTTATTTTTAGATGATGATATCAAATTTAAATAATTATAAGCTTCATCAACAGTCTTAAAATAACCAACAAAATATAGTGATTATGCTAATTAAGAAGGTTAAGTCATTTTGGAATTTAATCCTATGATGGATAAGTATTTTATGGATATTAATAAGTAATAACATTTAAATAATTAGTTATATGTTAAATACTAATGATATATACAAAGAGTTAACAGATAATTCAAGATTTATGGTCAATTCAATGAAAGATTTCATAGTCAAAGTTAAGAATTTAGCTGGAAGTATTGGTTCTTTAAAGGAAGCTACAAAAGCCTTTAATTTAAAAAATATTGTTGGTAGTCTTCCTTTATTAGAATTTGTTTATACTCTACTGGAAGAATATTTTGTAGATTGGAGTACCAATTTAAATAAGTTGGTAAACACTTTAAATGAAAATCTATATGAATTCTTTAGATTTTAAAGAGATATGTAAAATCAATGTGTAGAATTAATTTCCAATAGAAATAGAGCCTAATGTAAGTATCTAAAGGAGTTCTAGGATTTAATGAAGAAGAAACACAAATACTTCACAACAGAGCCCATTGAAAAGTGGGAGATGATTACTGAAATAGATAAAATAAAAATAAAATAAAGTCAAATACTTTCCTACCATTTTATGTTACCAAAAGAAACTCAAGAGGTTGAAGAATTGAAAATGAGATTTGCATATATCAATAGATAAGCATATTAATAGATTACTTAATATTTTGATAATAAAGGTATCTCTTATACAACTAGAATGTGTAATATGAGTATAAGGAAAAAGGAAAATGCTGCTTAACATACATAATATGTAGAAAAGATAGCCTCATAATTCATGTAGATTGTGGCAATGAGAAATGGTGAAATTCCAAATTTGAAATAAGAATGGATAGATCAATATCTAAATCCACTTAGAATTAGTTGTATAATTAGATGATAATTGAGAGACAATTATTTTATAATCATATATTAATCATTATAATTTCATTATTGCCACATTTGTACATTCTTCAAATTTTGAATTTGAATATTAAATCATTCCTTTTTTATAAATAAAGGTTCCATCACTCAATCCTATTAATCCATCTAATCCATTTAATTCATTTATTAATAAATGTTAACAATTTTTGGCATCAATTTGATTCATTATTTTATAATCATTTTCATCAATTTTCTTATTTCTTTCAATTAATTTAATTTCTATCTCAACAGGATCTTTATAATAAAGAGAAGCTATTTGTTATGCTTTCTTTAGAATCTATACTAAAATTTTAGTATAGATACTAACACTTTCAGGTAAAGCATTACCAATAAATTTTGATTCATTACTCATAGTTGAAATAACCAAAAAGAATCTAAATAATAATAATTATAATATACCCAAATACAAATCCAGTGATGAGAATAATAATCATTTCAAAGAAATCTATATCAAAACAAGTTATGAACAATTAAAATACTATCAAACCACTTGTCAAAATATATAATGATTATTAATGTAATTGCAAATCTTTCTCATTATCAACAGATAAGACACTTAAAAATTATGCAAATACTTGTCCTCCATAGGTGAAAATCATCATTAATGCTACATTCATATTATTCACAGCTTTTATGCAAGCAAATAAAAAGTAGAATAGAATTACAAATATTAGATAGAGCAATGAATTATCTATACTAAGAGATAACATTGATATTAATAAAAGTGCTCCTAAAAACAAATAAAGAAAATATCCATTTTTATTAAAGAATACATTCATCGATTCAAATTCAATCTAATTAGTATAAATATTCTACTAAATTAAACAATGCAATAAAGTAGCATAGAAGCATCATAAAATAAAGCTTTGTTAAATGGTGCAAATGTTCTGATGAATTTGAATTAGTATTCTCTTATTCTAGTAGTTAATTATTATATTGTAAATTCTGATTAACTTACATAGATTATCCTATTCTTGGAGATATCACATATCTGGATTGAGCATTTGGAATAAATCCATTCGGAGTTTAACTGCTAAACATTAATTATATGTGAAATTATTTATTTTATAAATCTCATTTGAAGTTTTGAGCATACCATTTCTTAGTAAACTCATCGCAATCAAGCAATTAAAATTTCCAACCATTTATACTAACCTCATTCCCTACTATAAGATCATTTGGTTTGAAAAATTCATTATTATTATTAATATTTTTATACTTTCTCTTTTCTAAAAACTTCCCATCAGGTATACCTAAAAATAATAAGAAAAATATAAAATACCAGAATTTCTTACTGTTGGTTCATAAACCAAAAGACTATCATCATTCAAAAAGAAAGTAATTACAAATACTCTATCTTTATCTTCTGGTTTTGTTGTATTAAACATAGCTAAAAATCTAAGATTGACTTAATTATCAACCCATTTAAAGAAATCCTTCTTTGGTGGTATAGGTTATAATCTATAAATATATCCAAGTGAGTCCTACTCATCTCCAATACCATTATGAGGAGGTATAATAATATCTAAATAAATATATTTAAATTATTATTACTTGATCTTTCTTATTATACATATTCTTCCTAACCTCCTAATGGAAAATCTACATTGAATTTCTCAAAATAATATTATCTAGTAAATTAATCACAACCATTAATTAGGAATTTGCGATTATAAATAATTAGAGGTTATCCAAATTAAATATCTTATGGTCTTATGAAATCTTCAGCATATGTTTATCCTGGTTAATTGAGTGAGAATTTTCTAGGTAACTTTTATCTTCTCAACATCATAGGGAATGGAACTCTTCCTGAATTTGCTGAATTAATTTCTTTGATTTCTATAGTATCATCTGCTAAATAGTAATGAAGAATATATTCAATATCTGAGAATACATAGAATTTAAGAACCTAATATATTAAATAATTAAATAGAAAACCTTTCTATCATTCTCTAAAAATTGTTTTTAAGATGTTACTCTTCCTCCTCCTAATTTATGTTCTAAATAATCTTTCATTACAGTATCCTTTTAAGGAATAAATTTAGTCATTGTCTTTGTTTCAAATGAGTCAGATTATGGTACAAAAGAAGACTCCTAAGGTATTCCTTATAACTATATGGAAGTTAAAAATATAACAATACCTCATAAAACTCTCTTGTATATTGATCACAATCATAAAGACGTATAGTCTTTCCATAGATTATGATGTCTTGATTAATTCTGAAATCTTGAGGTAGAATAAAGGTTTTGGAATCATCAGCACGTAAAACCTATCAATAATTGAAATATAATACTTTCTATCTTTTTAAGAATGCACCTTAAGGAACTCCACTATTCTCTTATTTTGGTTCTGTTATACTTAATGAATGATCTTCAAGATAATAACAGATTGTGATTTTGCGAATCCTATAATTTTCAAGTGCAGATTCAACAACAGCTTCTTTGAAATATCCACTAAATCTTAGAACATGTCTATCCATTTTAACCCAAGAGGGTTAATATAATTCTTCAGAATCATTGTTTGCATTCTAAGAGTGTAACTGTTTTTTATACTTTCGGTAGATGCATTGCATGAGTTATACTCATATAATCAGGATTGAACATCCCTGTTTGAGGAGGTATTTGAATTGGTTATTTACGAGGTACTGCATATTCCTTATTTGGAAGATGATTCACATCTCTATTCTATTCTTATTTTGTAGAAGAGACTTTTCTAAAGTTTGGTTTCTAATTCAACTCTATTAAATTACATCAATCTCTTAAGTGGGTACAAAACCTGGCAATTTTGGAAAAGCAGATGCCATATAATTATTATTAATTAATTAATTAAAAATACATATTATTTGATTTACTAAACTTCCTTTAAATTGTATTACTTTCTAATCTAAATCATGTAAGTGAAATATACAATAATAATATTTTCATAATTATTTTAAGCAATAACAATTTTTTGGAACATAAATAAAAAGTTGAATAAATATAATTGTTTTGTTTAGTACATAAATTGTTATATTTAATATTATGAATTCCATTATAAGTTTAGTTATCTAGAAATTATTTATTTATCATATTAAAAGCAACATATTCTCATCAATTTTATATATAATTTTTGAATTATATGTATTTATTATATTAAATATAATGACAGAATAGACAAATATTGGAAATCTTATATATGTGTGCATCATAACAGTTTCATATTCAGGAGCCATAGGATTGTGTAGAACAGTCATATTTTCAACAATATTGAAGATAGATGACTAAGTAATTAACTCTGTCTCACTTGGAATATTTACACTGATTTTTCTATTTGGACCATTTTCATTACCTTTATATCAAAGAATTATCCAAAAATTCACCTATAAGTATTATTTCTTTATTTGAAATAGAGCAGTATTTTGCATAACAAGTTTTGTTAATGTTATCAGTACAACACTATATATAATTGTTATTGAGTAACAACCTCAAAAGATTTATTTGATCATAACTATTTTGATCTTTGAAGCTATAGCAGCTCCTTTTTTGGCTATATTTTATTGTGCTTACAATTATTATGTTCGTAGCATTTCCAATTCTAAAAATATTGGAATCTATTTTGGAATTGCCTACTCATTATTCAGCATGTAGAATTTCATTGGAGATATTTATATTACCTTTGCAAATTCAATGTATGAATATAACGAATATTTCTATTATCCAATGTTATTTATATCATTGATCATATCAATTTTATATCTTTTTATCAAAGAACCTAAATTTGAATATAAATCAACTTCTACTTAAAGCATTGATTTACATCAAATGATGAATCAACATATTTATGGCTCAGAAGAAGAATAGAATTTACAATAAAGAAATGATGATCCATCTTATTCAAATCAATTCATTTAAATTTGGAGCATATAAAAAAAGGATCCACTTTTTATTTATATAATCCCTACCATTATTTCTTTAGGAATATTCTCAGCCTTTAATGTTGTATACTCATAAAATATGATTGTGCCTCATTATAATATTTAATTGAATCAATAACTTATTGCTGGTTTAACACTTCATGGAATTGGACAATTCTTAGGTGGTATTACTGTAGGATTGATATCTGATATTTATGGATACCTTAATATACTAATTATACTATAGATTTTTGCCATTTTTACTTACATAATTTCAGTAAATTTATAATATTAAATAAGGATTATTGGTGAAACAACTCATAAAAATAATACATTAATTTACATATTTGATTTCATGTCTGGATTAATAATCTCATCCTCATAAGTTTTAACATTTGCCATCTCTGCATCACAATATCAACATAATAAAAATGTACTCTAATTTTGCAATTGGGTTTACTGTTTGACATTTTATCTATCTACTATTTTCATGAGTTTGACCTCCTCTTCTAATTTATTTATAGGAGTCATTACATTTAGTTCTTTTATAATATTATATTCCACTCTAAACTTTGCTTGTTTGTGGTTCCATAAAAGATAGTATCTGATTGATTAATAATGAATTATCAATTTTAATTAAAATTATTTTAATAAATTCTAAACTAATAACACTATTTATTTCCTTACTAAAATTAGAAATTAATTAATAATATATCTAATAAATTTTATGTACTCTTGCATTTCCATTAATTCAAAAGATAGTATTGAAGAATTCTTATCTCTTTATCATTGTAAAGATTCTCATCAAAAAGTCCTCTTAAAAAAAGAAAGAGAAATTGTTAAGTACTTAAAATCACTTGGACTATAGATGAAAACAGATCCACTTATGAAATTTTAACAGAAGAATAAGTATTCAATTACATAATTTAGTCTAATCTTATAAAGTGATAACTCTTTTGATAAAGAAATAGTATTAGAAAAAAAAGAATTCGAAGATGATGATGATATAGATGACAACAATGAGGAACTTCAAATAAACAACAATCCTTTATTTAGAAAAAGAACCAGCAAAAAATTAATAAGAGTTTTTTCTTTCGAGAAAAATGATAATAACTCATTTGATTAAGAATAATAGAACTCCTCATTATAATTAACTTGATCCATTATGAGAATATATTTTATTTAAAAATTTACGAGCAGATTTTAATTACTAGTTATTTTTATTATAATTTATATTGTTATTAATATTAATTATATTATGTTATTTATTTTGGATTATTGATTTCAATATTAAATACTTAAGGTATAAATATTATTTAATATTTTTTTAAGTTGATTTTGCTATTAAATACTAAAAGATTATATAGATTTCAGTAAGAATGTAAAATAATTAGTTTATAATTAATAATTTGAATCACTATATCATTTAGCTACTAAAAATAATAATGATTAATTAATGAAATTAATATTTATTTTTACTATATTGTATTATTATGTTTGATTTTCAAAATTGTATTAAATATATTACTTTTTTATAGAATTTAATATTAAAATAATCTGAAGTCTTGGATTAGTCCATTTTCAATTACTTTTATATTTAATCATTTCATTAGAAAATTTTGAGACAATCCTATATTACAATATATAATAAACTATCATTAATGATTTAAAGCTTCTGTAAACATTTCAAAAAAATATTAGTTTTTATTAATAAATTATCAATTTTGAAATGATCCAATCTTATGCTAATTCAACAATAAATGATGAACTTTCCATCATTTTACAATTGTTTTTTAAATTTAAAGTTAATAATTAAAAATAATTTTTCATTTCAACATAAAGATTTTGATTAGTTCAAACATTAGATTGACAATGACCCTCTAAGAATTAAAAAATATTAAATTTATTAATTAATTAATTAGATTATAAAAATAGATAGAAATTTTGCTTTAATTCTATTAGTTTAATTAAGTCTGTCTCAGATGATATTTTTATCTTTATTAATAAGATAACTTTAGATTATTATATAAAATTGTAATCTCAATTAATTAAAATTTAGAGTACTATTTATAATTCCTTAGAGGGAGAAAAAGGCTAAATTTAATTGAATAAAATAACATAAATTATATCAGGTATATTTTTAAGGATTATAAGAAACTAATTTTTATTCTTAAATAATAAACAGATAAGTTAATTTTTAGTTCATGATTATAATATTTTAAAGTTTCTTAGAATTTTTTTCATTAATAATTATAGGACAATTAGTGAAATCTTTTTAAGCCTTTATTAAAATAAAAAGAAATCCAATATGTATATTTTATATTTAAATAATATAATATGATAAAAAGCACTAAAATTACCAATAATCTTATTTTCTGTTAAAAATTTAATTGATTATCTTCTATAATCTTACAATATCATAGATGGTTAATAATAAAAATGAAAGCTCTCTTCATTATTTTTTATTACTCATTTCTAACAGAAAATTGTTATTTTTTATCATAATTCTCCTATATCTACTGATTTACTCTCTTTTTAATTATATAATTTATTATTAGAAATAAAAAAATTATAATAGCATACTCTGATTTATGAATAAAATTAATAGATATTCTATATCAATTCAAAAATTTTTTATCTAATATTTTTTATTATGAATAGAGATATGCAAAAATTGAGTATTTTATTAATTGAAATTTTAATGATTTCTTAAAATATAATGAATCATTTTTCAGGATTGTATTATTTTGTTACTGATTCCATGTGTTTCTCAATAAAGAATTGTAATCTCAAAATATAATCTTCATAATAAATAACAGTTGCACTATGAATATTTATAAATAATTTATACTTTGGATCTCCATTTGTAGCAAATCTGACAAAGTCTTCAATTTCTAAAGTTCTAAACTAAATTCTTAATTATTCAATCAATATAATCTTTACCCCATAGTAGTCAGTCTCTACTTTAATGTATCGATTTCAATATATCCTTTCTTTTCTTCGTCTAATTATCTAAATGCTGCTAATAGAGTATCTGTGTCATCTGGATCATATTCATTGCTCTTTAGTACTTATTATAATGGTATATGCAATAATACTTTGAATCATGAATGGTTCAAATTTTTAATATTTGATTGACTCACTAGGTTCATCCTCTTCAATTGCTGGAAGAATTGTTTTGCTCACTTAAGCTTCACTAGGGAATTTACCCAAGTATCTCATGATATATGGAATTTCTCTTTATTATTTTAAGTCATCAATTACTTTTTATCAACATAACCCTTTTTATCAGTAGCAAATAGGTTGAAAGTTTCAAGAATCTTCTCCTTCATATATTACTCCATTTTTTGTTTTTCTTAAATAGATGCATTAGGGTCCCACATTTCTGTAAAATTTAATAATTTTATTAATATATCTAATCAATAAATATAAGAAAGACAGCAAATTTCATTATTGGAACATATCTTATATAATTGCTTAAACTACACCTTGAGGATTTTCAAAATTTAATTGATGTCCAGCATCATTTATGATTCTAAGGTTAATATTTTAATAGAAGTTCAAATTAATTGCTCCTTAATGATCCATCCAATCTTAATCTCCAAAGTAAAATGAAATTGGAATATTTTTAATTTAATTCATATTCTCTGATAAAATACTTTCAATCGAATTATGATCTTTAGCATATATTGGAAAATGAAAAAATAAACATAATGATTTTTCTGATCCTTCAGGTAATTCCAACATTTCATCAATATAAGATTTCCACAAATCATATTCATTTCCTTTTAAATGCATTCTTTTTCTTAAATATACTTTTATCAATTATTTCCCTAAAAAATGATTATTTAAATATTATGGAATTGCAATTACTCCTTCCCATAAATCTTTCACATATTCAATAAATTTTCTTCTCAGAAAAGATGCTTAAGAGAAATTTTAATTTTGACTATCATTAATGAATATATTTACATAATTTATTCTTTTGTGTAATAAGTAGTTCCTGCTGGACTTAATAATATTAATCTTTTGAATAATTTTGGGAATCTTACAAGAAGATGAGCAGCTATAAAACCACCAAAAGAATGACCAATCAAAGTCACTTATTAATTTGGACATAATCCCATTATTAATTTAGAAATAGTTCCCATAAAAAATTCCATTGCTTCCTCAAAAGAATCCATTTTTATATCTGATTTGCTTGAATATCCCATTCCAGGTAGATCTATTGAATATACTTTGAATTATTCTATTAGTTTTCCATATGCTTTAGAATAATGAAGATTGGATCCACCATAACCATGAAGTAGGATTAATATTTCCTTCATAATTAATAATATGATATATATACTTTATTGTTTTGACCTCCACTAAAAGTATGAATATAATAAGTCTTTCCTAAATATTTCACATCAAAATCAAATAAATAATAATGTATAGCAGATTTTAATCCTTAAAATTAGAATATATATTTTACCATAATGGTTTAATAATTAGATTTCTTTACTCCATCTTTTTTGCTTCTTTTATTCCTCTTACAATTCCATTTAAGTTTTTTAAAATATATAATATTAAAATATTCTTTAATTCTTATACCTAAATTATTATTTATTTTTGAAGATCTTAAAAAAATATAATATATCTTTATAATATGATATTTATTATTTAAATTAAGATATTCTCTTCAATTTACATTGAAAATTATGCCATTATAGTAATAAATATAACCAGAATTACAAATTGAATAAATGTAATATACAATATTGTATAAAAGTATTTTTATTTTTATTTGAATACTATAATTAGTAATGGTTCTTCAATAATTATAATTTTAATATTTATAAATCATCATATCCTTACTCTAAAACAGATAGATTTTTTAAGGAAATCTTTAAAACACAATCATGAAAATAAAATTTAATAAATAAATATCAAAAATCTTGTAATAATGGACTGTTAAATATTTAGATCTAAAAAAAAGATTGAGGAAGAAAGGAAATCATAAGAGAGTCTAGTAGAAAATCAAATGTATATTATTATTAATGATGAAAACAAATCTTAACAAAAAGTATAAGGAAGAAATTAATAGATTAAATATTCAAGATTAACAATAAATCATCTTTATTCTTTATCAATTATCTCTCATTCTTCAAAAAAATTGGGATATTCACTTTAAGAAATGAATTTAAAAGTTTTGCCAAAGTAAACAAATATAGACCAGAAAATTTAAAATTATCGAGGAGTAGCAGAGATGAATAATAATAAATAAGTTTTCCAAAATTAATAACAAATAGATGTCTTCAGAGTAAATAATAATATAAATTAATAAAATTAATAATAATAAAATTTATAATAAGTGATATTATAAAATAATACAAATTAACAATCATAATAACAAAAATAAAATTAAGAAATTCAATAAAGTATTCCCTAATAATAAATATAATAAATATAATAAAATAATTAAAATATCAATTCGGATGTTCAACAGGAAAATGAAATCACTACCCCCTTTAATGAAGAATTTATATTTAAGAGATGTTTTATGATTAATGTAAATGAGTTAAAAATTGGAAAATTATACGCTTAAATGGTAAAATAAGTTAAAACTTTCACTCTTGAAATAATTTTAGAGTAAATAATTCCCATAATGATAAATAATAAACAACTTCTTTAATCTTAAACAGTGACTTGGTTAATTTAGGTATTGATTAATTTATCAGAATGTGATATTAAATCTACCTATGCTATATTTGAAGATGGAGTAATTTCAAAAGAAATTCTAATCATATTGATTGATGCTATTATTGATAAAATTGTATGTGCTGTAGCTAAACCATAACAATTATAATGGTAAGCAGACAGAGAAGAAATTAATAAATATAATGGTCTTGAAAATTAAATTGCTACATAAGTATATGATATGTTATTTGGATAAATGATTAAAACTAATTATGAAATAAGTTTTGAGAATTTGGAGCATCCAGCATTAAATTATTTATTAACTTATCTTGATACAAAATGTTAACCTGAAGATGCTTTTAGATTTTTAGATTTAATTACAAAAAGAGAACTCTTAAGATGTTAAAAAGTAGATTTATTAGATTGTGCTTATTAATTAAAAGCTTCATTATTATTAGATAAATTATCATTCTATCCAAAATTAACAGATCTTTTATTTTAAAATAGTTGGGCTTATGGAAAATTTTAAATATATAAATTTGGTAGAGATATATAATAATATTCAATATTTGGTTCAATTATAAGTTTGAGTACATTCCCAGGAGATTTTCCTAATGTGAAAATGATTTTTGGTAATCAAGAAAAAGGTTTACTTATTCTTCAAGAAACTTATAGAGGACCTATATATGAAATTATAAATAAAATGGCTGATATCTTTTTAAGAATTATTAGAAGGGGTAAAGAAGCTTAATTATAACTGTTTACTTATATAATTAAATTAATTGAAATTAATCTTAATCTAGAGAAATTGAGTTAAATACAAACTATTAATAGATGTTGCTTTTAAGGTATGATGTTTAATTTATAATAAATACTGTTGGAAATATTCAATCCCTTTATTTACAATACTGAATAAGCAAATGCTAGATTAAGCAAAATTAATCTAGATCTATTAGCTTCTGTTAAGACTCATCCACTTTTTTCTAAAATCTATTCAAATGCTGGTTTAATGGCACCCTTAAAAACAGTATTTATACCATAAGATAAAAGTCCTGTTCTTGATCCCATGACAGTTCTATACTTATTAATTTAAAGAATTGGAGGACTCTCATAACGTATTATAAATAATTATGCTCACTCATATGTTGATTATTAGATAGATAAATAATTTTTTGGTCCTCATTCAAGAATAACTTAGCTGAGTGAAATCGAAAAAGCTACATTTGATACACTATTCCTTCATCCTAAAAGTATTTAAAATACAATTCAATTTTTATCTTTTCAAAGTAAATTGGCTTTAAGTTTACTTGATGAGAATTATAAACCTAAATATCCTTATGGATTATTATATAATCAATTTATGCAAGATATTCCAAATTATTGTTTTATCTATAATTCTAATGGAGTTGCATTAGATTACTTAGATGAAGTTATTTCCATTGTTGAATTTACTATTATTACTATGAAATATTAAGATTTAATTGAAGATATACATTTAAGATGCAAAGGAATAGAATTATTTTATATTTTTAATGAATATATGATTTTATATGATAGCAAAAATGCATTGATGTCTTTTCAAATTTTTTAAGAAAATAAAATCATTCAAAATTTTCTTATATAAGGACTTATTTAATCATATATAGATCGTGATAGAATTAAAATGAGTAGTATCTTGTCTGCAATTAGATTTAAGAAGGCCATCTGTCAATTATTCAAATATGCCTTAACCAATCACCGCAACATATATGAGAACAAATTTTTAGAGTTTGTTAATATGAATTCAACCACATATTAAAATTTTGCTTTTGTCTATATAAATGACATAAAGGAAATGGTTGATCAATGTGTTCAAGCTACTAAAAAAATTAAATTAGAGGAAGAGACCTTAGCTAATTAATATTCCCTATTAAATACTTAGGAAAAGGCTTTAAAAGAGCTTTTAAGGTTGATTGAAGTAAATAGATGTATTGTTGATTGGGAAAGTGCAATAGAGTTATTTAACAATATTATATTATTTACTAAAATTGAACCAAAAGCATTTCTTATAGAAGAGACAAGACAATAATTTGCTTAAAACCTTAATGATGTTTTGTAGTAACTTAATGGTGAAGGAAATAGTTTTATGAAGGCTAAATTTCTAGTTTAATCATAAATAAATCCATAAGATATATCTAAAAATATAATTGAAATTTATGTAAATCTATAAGATTAACCTTTATTTTGGGATGAAATCATTATGAACAATTAGTAATTTATTTAATATATCTATTTCTAGATAATTATAAATTTAATCCCTATATCTATTAATAAATAATATGAGTAATTAATACACTATTCCAAATGATTTACTCTATAAATTCAGTTAAATTATAAATAACTTATAATAACTAAGAAATGAATTTGATTAAATAATGAATGATCTATCAAAGGATCCTAATCTTGAAGATAGATACCTTGATTCACTTACTCGTAATTTAATGACTGATCCAGTAATGTTACCAAATTCTAAAGTATTATAATTTAATTGATTAAATATAGTAAATTGTTGATAGAGTAACAATTAAACGATATCTAATAAAAAAATAAGAAGATCCTTTTGATAGATCATTTTTAGTAGCAGAAATGTTAATAGAATAGAAAGAATTAAAATTAGAAATTAAATAATATATGGATTCAAAAAAAAATCAATTAAGATAATTAAGAGGGCATACTTAGAATTTTTATGCATGAAATATATTAATATATATAATATTTATTAGATTTTTTAATTAATATAATTATATATAGGGGTATTTATAAATTTTATTAATAAATATCGTTAAATAATATTATTAATAACAAATCTTACTTTTTAAATTAATGTGGTTTGGATTTAAAAAATAGAATGACAATCAAAATGGTTAATAAGTCTAACAATTTCCAGTTCATAGACATAAGGCAGCTCATCAACAAGGTTAGTACATGATATATTATAATATTAGGAGGTCTAAATTTATCATTTGGAGAAGACAATTCTGAAACATAAAAAGTGGCAGCAAGTTTGTTTAAATAAATAAGTGGAAAGATTATGACAGGAAATTTCGGATCTTTGATGTAAATTAGCAAACCTATTGCTATATCTTTAGATATGAGTTTCTTACATGGAGTGGCTATGTAAAATAACATAATTATAAATATAAGAGGACATACATTTAGTAATTTATTGGAAAGATGTAGTCACTTATCACCAATTGAATAGATTAAATATATATCAGCTTATTAAGTATATATATATATATTATATTATAGATATCTGGATTACATTGTAATGGTGAGATAACAAAAATGAAATCTCCTTTAGATCCATTAATAGGAGAGACTCTTTAGGTAATAATATAGTATCAAAAATTTATAGTTAGTTAAAGAGGATGGAACATAATTCTTCGGAGAATAAACTTCTTTTGATCCACCAATTTCATATTATTACATATTAGGAAATAATTATAAAATATATGGTGATGACAGATTAGAAATATAAATTCATAAGACAGTGAATTCATTAACAGGAGTTTAGTCTGGTAGATAAACCATAGTCTTTAACAATGGTGCTGTCTATAAATGTAAATAGAGACCAACTATGTAATAATGTATATAGATATATAAAAGGGAAATAACTGGATTGATGATGGGAGACCGAATCTTGAATTGGTAAGGGAAGATGATTGTGGAAGGACCTGGTGTGAAATCAGTTATTTCTTTTAATTACAATGCTGAAGGAATGATGTCTAAGATAACTTCATTCTTTAAGTCATAAGAATAGGCTAAGATCTTTGATATTGTAGAAGTGGATATTTTTGAAGTGAAAATAGATGAAAATGGAAATAAAACAGAGTAATTGTGAATAATAATTATGTAGGACTCTTATTTAATAAGGAATAGGATCATGGTTGGAAGGATTGCTATTTGGAGAAGAAAACGTTTGGTAGATAGATGAAGAAAAGAAGAAGTGGATTTCACCATAGGAAATATTAGAATCTGATACTACTAAAAGAAATGATCTCATTCTGATGAGGAATTAAAAGATGGAGGATGCATAAAAGTATTTATAAATAATATCTTTATTATAGAGCAAAATTGAAATTGGAGGAATAGAATTTTAAAGACATTGATAATAGAAGAAAAAAATAATGAATATATATCATTTAAACACAATAAAATGTCTATGGCTGTCTACTTTCTTCAATATTTAATCAATCAATTCTTAAGATTTATTCATGTCAGCTAATATACATTTAAGGTGATGTAAGAATCTATCGAATTGTTGATCAGTTATACTCAAATTCTTATGCACTTCAATTAGATCTCTTTATATTCATTAGTAATAATACTTTCCAGTGTATTTGGTATGAATACAACCGAACATTTAAGCAAAAAAAGTCTTTTATTATAATCTAACTCTAGTCATGTCTGCTTTTAAAAACATGCTTCTCAAACTTTGATCGAATAACACCTTATAATAAAATTGATCTATCAAATCTGATATCTGTCCATCACCTCCAAATAACTCAAACATACTCTGATCCATATATTAATTATATTTAAAATATATATATATATATATTAATTATCAATATAAACAAATTTTATCATAACAATAGTATAAATGTTATAGTCAAAATAACTATTAAATTCTTTAATGCTATTAATTCTCCAGTTACTTCTATATATACATCTATTCCATCTGTTTCACTGAATATATAATAATCATCAGCCAATAATTGTCTAAAACCTAAAGGTTAAATTGTATTTTTTATATATGATTCACAATTATTTCCTGGACACACCACTACATTTTACCAAGATTATAGAAACTCTTCTAAAACACTACTACAATTCAATGTATCTGTATAATTTAAATAATAATCCAAAACAAACTATTTAAAATTGATAATCTGACTTTACAAAGAGTCATATTAATTAATAAGGTTATTTATATAAGTGTCATAATTAGATTTTAATGCAATTATTTTATTGTTCTATATAAATTTTGTATCATTTGATGCTGCACATAATATACATAGATTTCCTTACAAAAATCCAGCTTATAGTTTAGCTAATTATTATAATTACAATTTATAATTATCTATACTATCTGATCCAATATAAGAATTTTCAAATGAAGTATTATTTAATAATCCACATATTTTAATATCTGATTCAAATGACTTCAATAAGTTTTATAATTCACTATTATTGTCTAACAATTTAGATTGATATTTAGAAATAATAGATTGAAAGAATGTCTCAGTTTCAGTTGTACAACAAGATTAGGAATTCATTTTTGAACATATGGTTAATGTCTAATTATAATTGAGAATTTAAGTACTTAATCTTTAGGTGTAGTCAATATATAAGTATTGTATTGTTTTACATCTATTTCGAGATTATGTAGTAGATTTAAATATTAGGGTGTGAAGGGATTACTAGAACAATCAGATAAAGCTAATATAAAGAAACAAAATAAAATAATCATATTATTTAATACATATTTAAATATTCTAAAATATAAATAAATAAAGAATGGGAATAGAATAATCAACATAAAAAACAATTCCAGAAAAACAATGTTATTTTTTTGGTTTTCCTAATATATTATTGATTTACAACACATTAAAAGATGAATTCACAAGAAATGAGACTCCAAATGTATTAGATTTTGTTTAATGATTAGATAGTTTTAAAAAATATGGCATGTGTGTAGATAAATGAAAGTACAGTTTATCTAAGTGGTGGAATTAATGAGAATTATTAGGAAGTTAGTAATAATGTTTATCGATACAATGTGGATGAGAATATTTTTAGGAACCTACCATCAATGAATATTCCAAGATATACACATTAACTAATATATAATAAATATGATTAAAAATTATATGCTATGGGAGTATAGAATATATTGTTAATAAATTAGGGACGTTCATATGGTTAAGGAAGTGAAGGTATTTTGAATAGTTGTGAATGTTATGATTTTTAGAAAGGTAAATGGGAAATGATTGCTCCTATGAATTGTCGTCGTGCAACATTCTTTGCTATATTATATGAATAAAAAATATATGCATTTGGTGGATATACAGATGTAAGAAAAAGATCAAAGAAAATTGAAAAATTTGAGAATTAAAAATGGGTATTATTGAATTTAAAATTACATTATGGAATAGAATAAGGAGTATTGTATTAAAATGAGAAGAAAGAATTATTTATTTTGGGTGGATAATCAGCTGAAGGTATAATTGATAAACATTAAGTTATTGATTTTACAAAATAGATAACATATATAGGTAAGACAAATAATTAAAAACCAAGAGTATTATAAAAAGGAATTTAAATAGAGAATTATTCAATTTAATTTTTTGGTAGTGACACTTTATCTATAGAAAGAGGAGAGATTTCTAATTTAGAACTAAGAACTTATAAAAATAAATTGTTTAATTCTATATCAAATGAATGTCTGAAAGAATTTAGTATAGCTGATTACACTTTTGAATTAGGAGTAATTTAAAAATAGATCATGTCTTATATTGTAATAATATAAGAAGATGTTATTTATAGGATTAATAAGGTTTATTTTAAAGATCAGAATTAATCAAAATAATAAAAATTTAAAGAATATATTTAATCAACTTAAATATTATCAAATAAAATAAATTTATATTCAGGAGCATTATTATTAAATGATGGAAGTTTAATCATTATGGGAGGAGTTAATAACTAGATGAATTAAATAAGTAATGATATTATTAAATTGGAATCTAATTTTGGTCAATTTACTAAATTAGCTAAAATGAATTAAGCAAGATATGCTTTTAGTTATTAATTAGTAGATAATTATATATATGTTGCTGGAGGAAGATACTATGGTAATGATGATTAAGGAATTTTGGATTCATGTGAAAGATATAATATAAATATTAATTAATGGGAAGTGTTACCAAAGTTAAATGAAAAAAGATGTAGTTCTTTTATGATCTAACATAATGGTAAAGTATTAGTTGCAGGAGGATTTAATACTTTTAAAACTAGAATCAATACAATTGAGATCTACAATCCTGATTTGAAATCCTGGGAAATGTTTGGAATTACATTACATAATCCAATTGAGGCTTGCACATTTATTTGTAAATCTAATTAGAATAAATTGGATTTCATCACTTTTGGTGGCAGACAATCTTCTGATATAGATAATGTGATTAAATATTCTATTGATTTTGATTAGCCTATTGATCATCAAATTGGAAATTGTTAATAATTATAAAGTCTCAAATTTAAAGGATCTTTATTATAATAAATTACTATTGATAATTAATTATTTATAATCCATTAGAATGGACAATAATTAAATATGAATTCCTATTAATTACATACATTTTAATAAATAGAAACTAATATCAATTAATAATTAATGGAAATACTTTAAGAATTAAAAGTAAGTAATTTGGGCAAATTATTAATAATAGATTGATTAATTTGTATATTATAATTAAAGATTTATTTATATATAAATTAATTAATATAAATATAATCAATTTAAATGCTTTTTCCATATTATTTATTAAATCCTTAACATTCTCAATACCAATTGAAACTCTAACCAAATTGTCTGTGATTCCCAATTAATTGCTTACATTAACAAGTAATTTAATTAATTCATAATTTCTATTCAATATATTATACTTCAAATAAACCTATATAAGTAATTGAATAATTAAATAATTGAATAAGATATAAAAATTTATTCATTATACTTTTAACTCTTCCTAATGATTCAGCAAATGTAAATATTTTCAAGTCTTTTAATTATTTACTAATTTCCTCAAAGCCTACCTGACCATAAAAACTTATCATGATTCAAAATCCTCTTTATTGTCTTTTAACAAATATTATGAATAGGATGGCTATGCAAATTGTATAATCTTTTCAACCAATGGGTTGCTTTCTAAATACTGAACTATAAGATGTAAAAATTCATAGTATACTAATTGATACTCAATTCGAAATATCTAAAAAATTTTCATAATTATATAGTAATCAAAATATATTTGGTTTCTGAATTAAATTAATTTTATAAGATTGAAAAATAATGCAGTGATCTTGAATTCAATGTTTCTTTAAAGTGATATTACTAATATCGTATATGTTTGAGTTAACATGATCACATAAATGATAATCTCCTATACATTCTTCCAAAGCAGCTCTAATTAGATTACCAAATCTTGTGTAATCAAAAGAAGAATAAAGTTAATCTGATGTTTAAGTGAATGGGAAAATTTAAATTACTATGAAATTGATTCAGCATTCTAACCTGAATTAATGGTTCTTGTTGAGAATGATTTTGGAATAGTGTAGAGATAATCAGATTCTTATACTTATTAAGGTTATTACTATAATTTTATTATGTAAAATTCTTCTGAAGTCCAATATAAAATAGCAATATTTTTAATAACAATGAATATTGATAAATATGCTGTCATTCATAGATAACAATTAGAGAAACAAATTTAATCCACTGAGTTTCAACCTCTTGCTAATTAAGGCATACTTACATACTCATATAAATATAGGTACCATGTATTGTGAATATTAATATTAGATATAATCTCAAAAAAGCAGACCAAACTAAAAGTAGATTCTGTCCTGACCCTCTTATTAGTAAAGAATATGAAAGAGTACTCTATGAGAAATTTAATGAATATTGAATATTTTATTACTTGTTTTAAATAATTTAAATTCAAATTTACATCAATGTCAAATATCAGACAAAGGCTTACTCCATCAAAAATTAAATTGAATGATTAAAATAATGAGAAACCTCGTAAATTGAATTAATGTGTTAATCATTAAAACAAAAAAGCCAAATATCATGTTGTAAAAGAATCTTCTCTTTAATTGTGTTCCAAATGTGCTGTTAATATGGTTGGTAAAGGAATGAAAGTTGAAGAAATTCCAGGTCTAGAAGAAGAATATAGAAGAGATTAAATACTTAAATTTATAACATCAGTCAATAATTCAATACCTTAAATTGATAAACTTATGAATGCTCTAATTGCTAAAAGAGAAGATATTCAAAAGTATTATGATTAATAAAGAGATAAAGTTGAAAGATTTCATATTTAAATTAGTTAATGTTTAGAAGATGAGAAAATGCGATTACTTTAATAATTATTCACTAACTTTAAAACTCTCTCTAAACAATATGATGATTCTATTAATTGTTTATAATTATCAAGATCTGAAACTATTAGTATGAAAACTGATGTAGAATCTAATCTAGATGGAATTCTTAGATAAATGTAAAATGAACCTTTTAATGAAATTATGACTAGCTATAATAAGAATCTATAATTATTTATAGACAGGACTGAATGTATATAAAAAACGCCTATTGAAGTCTTAAAAGTTACACTCAATGAACCAATTAACATTACACATTTAATGACTGTTCATTCACTTAAAACATGTTTGATTAAGAAAAATTTACAAGAATAAAAAAATAAAATTGAATCTAATCATAGTGTTTATATCAGTTTTGAAAATAAAGAATAATTTACTTAACCTAAATTACCTAAAATGGCTCCATCTTTGAATAAGACACCTAAAAAGGATTAAGAATATGTTTCACCTTTTGAAATTAAAACTGAAGAAATCTATGAAGAAGGTCATTCTTAAATGATTGAACGAGATGACATTGAAAACTCTTATTAAATGATGTTAATTGATAATTAATCAGATGCTGAAGAATAGAAACCAGAATTAGATATCATCAAATCCTTTGGACCATCTAATTTAAATAACAATACATTAATGCCAAATAATAAATTGTTAGTATCTAAAATTATTTCAAGAGCTAATGAAAAAAATGATAGAAAAATTGATAAAAATTATGCATTCAAAGGAATCAATACTTCCCTTAAATTAGTGTGAATTTTTTATTTATTTTTATCTTTATCAAATAAATTACTTATTAATTCTATTATTAATTTTAGTTTAAATAATATGTGATTATAATATTCAATATAAGAGAATTCTTAAATATTAGAAAGAAATTAAAAAGTGTATAATATTATAAGATTTAAATGTTAATTATAATTTATATATAAATATATATTAATCTAATAATATTTCCTAAATTTTATTATCAAACATAATTTGAGTTTTGCATTTTTTAGTTAAACATAAATTATTTTAACTATTATTTAATGTAACTTAAATCTTATAAATTTTTTCTTATAATTGAATTAATTGATTATTATTAATTATCTCAGAGATAATTTATTTATTATATGTTATAAATCTTTTGTTTATTGAGTATCTTTCAACTATTTAATTTTATTTCTCTTATATATGAATATTTTTACATAAAATGTTAAATATATTATTTATTTGAATGATACTTTAATTAAAATTTGATAAATTGATTTAATATTGAATATATGTTTAAATCTATAAAGATGGATTAATAATAATTAATATATATATAAATATGATATTTTTTATTATATTGCCTATTTTTACTTATTAAGTTTTAGTATTAACTAGACTGAATAATAAGAATTAGATATAAAGGAAAAACATTTAAATAAATGATGAAAACTACTCAATTTCAAATTGCTTCACTTATGGTATTTGGTCAAAATATAATCCCTTAAGTATTATAGCATAAAATGGGCTATATGGATAATTAGATAGCAATTGTTATTAGTTACATAATGCAATAGATTTTGAGTAACAAAGTCTGAATCTGATTTATTATGATTGTTTAGATTATGGTTAGAAATCTATAATTAAGATGATTAGATTTATTAGCAATGATAATATGCAAAATAAATTTGATATAAGCATAGATGAATTTGATTATGAAAATATTTGGTATTTATTATCTATTTACCAATGGCCATAAGTAAATAAACTAGATTTGATATTGGCAAAAAATTAAAATATAATATTCAGATAATAATTATAGATTAAATATCCATTTTAAGTAAATAATGTCATTTTGACTTTTGGAGGTAGCTATAAAGTAATAAAATCTAAGATTCTAGATATTGAATTAGGAACAATATTTTCATCATTTCCTGGTTCCATTATATTATAAGATTTTACAATAGAAGATCTTTAACCTAATAGTGATATAAGTAATTTTATAAATGATGCTTTTTAAACAATTAATAATTGTATTTGCTAAATAAATGAAGATTAGTTAAAAATATAAGATATGAATTTGAATTATTTAGACTAAAATGTTTATATATCAGAGTAGATTAATTGTGATTCATTTATTCTTTTAGGATGGCTTAGAATCTTAGAAATTGTAGAAATAGATTAAGTATTTACATATTAATTTATAAAATTAAATCCTAACTTAGATGATACTATTTATTAAAATAGTAATTTAGCAGCCTTTTAATTGTTTTATTAAATATCAAAGCAAAATAATAAAATAATAATTACAACTTATGATTACACATTTCCTGCTATAAATATTGATTTTTAAAATAATCCATATTTAATTTAAAAAGAATTTATTATACCTAAAAGCATAATTAATATTTGGCATTATTTGTTTATTTAATTAAAATCTAATATATTTTAGATTATAATAAAGTTTTATTAAAATGGTTAGAATTTTGAAATTAATGATAATTTTGAAGTAATTTAATTTAATAATATATAATTTAAATTACAGTATGGCAATATTTAAAAGTAAAATAAGAACTATTTGAATATAAATGTTAGAAATTTAATGTTTTATAATTGTGATTAATCTATTAATATGTAAGGTTGCCATTTTAGTTGTAAGGAATGTGATGGTCCATCTAGCTCTAATTGTTTGTCTTGTTATGAGGAATCAAAAAGAATTTATCTTTAAGAATATAAAGTTTGTATATGTCCTTATAATTCAATTGATAAGAATGAAATATGTTTTACAGATTAATAATAAAAAATAAAAATTATTGAATAACACAATGAAGATTAAAATCTAAATTGTTTATAAGGTTTTTTTGAATTTAATGGAGAGTGTTTTAAATGGTATATATTTATTATAATAATAGTCCATCAATTATAAGTGAGAATTTTATCAGTTGTTATGAATGTTATAATAACCCTAAAGAATGGTATACTAATCCAAATTGTAATACAGATCTTTATCTAAAATCTATTGGGAGTATAGAAGAAACTATGATGGGATCTGAAAACATTTATTTTTATTTTGATGGAAGAGATTTAAATTTGTGTAATTATTGTTGGGAAATTAACACAATTCAGGATGAAGTCGGCAATTATGATTTGTCTTAATATTTATTTTTAAGGTTTTTTAATTTTTGTTAGATTGAAGAATATATGATAACTTAACATGAATGCTATGTGTGTCCTATTGATTTTTGTAAAAGTTGTTATGTAACTTTATATGAAATTAAATGTTCAAGTTGTTCAGATAGCTATGAATTTGTTAATGGTATCTGTACTGCAAAAATCTTAATAAATCCTTCTGAAAAGGATGAAAATCTTGATGAATGTATACCTCCATATTATATTACATCAACCTAATAATGCAAATTATGTCCAATATTGAATTGTGTTTATTGTTTTGAATATTTAAGTTACTTTCCAACTGTTAACACTTTATAATCTACTTTGATTTACATAAATTAAAATTATTTCAAAATAGGTTGTGCTCTTTGCATTGAAAATTATATATATGATTTCACATTAGAGAAATGTTTATTATAAGATCCAAACGTATCTAATTGTTTAAGATCTTTTATTAATTAAAATAGTCAAGAATTATGTACATTGTCTTCAATAGATTTTTCTAACTCTCCTGAAATGAATAATTGTTAAATACA